TTGCTTTTTATTAAAGGGAAAGTGAGCCCCCACAGCCAGGATAATTAGTGTACTGCCAGAATCCCTGACAGGATCTACAGGGACGTGCAAAACAAATGGAGGTTCCTGCTCCTCTGCACGACCAGGATTTATCTTGGATACACCCCTGGATGCAATGCCATGGGACATGCATTTAAAGCCATTCTTCCAGTCAGAAAACAGGATCTAAAGAGGCCAGTATAGGAGTTGGCAGATCAACCACTGGTATTTGCTATGGAAATTCTATATAAAAAGCTGGCCAGGCTCCCAATTTCCATTATACAAACCCCCAAGTATCCAGTTCCTATCCAGCACTCAGTGGCTGTACTGTACCTTGTGTTTGCAATTCTCTCCCTCCATTCTTCTGAGAGGAAGTCACCTCTTTCCAGCTTAAAAACAGACAAAGAACACAAAAACACACACAGAGAGGAGTTAATGTTGTTCCCTTCTCCTCTGGAGAGGGACAAAGGTGCTGTGCCAGCTCCCTGATCCCACAGCAAAGCAAGTTTTTGGGGGGAGTACAGAGGGGGTGAACCCAGGCAGGGCTGGCTCTGCTCAATCCTCAGATCCCAGGGGTGCCTCCCTCCCTGCTCCCAGCCAGGGATACCCCGGGAAGGGTCTCTGGGAATCCTCAGTGCCTGTGATCCCTGCAGATTCCACAGCTGGTCACCAAGTGGCTTGGGGAGCTGAGCAAAGGCTGGGAACAGCTCCTGCTTGGGAACCCAAACCCAGGCTCTGGTTGAGCCCAACACCTGATTTCCTGGGGTGCTAAATATAAATCCTGGCTGCTCCCACCACTCCAGAGGTGGAAATGGAGGAACAGAAAGGGCTGATTTGGAAAGAAACCCAGCTCTGACTCCAGTGACCTGGGCAGCCCTCTCTGATGGCACCACAGCAACTCCCAGGTCAAAGCTTTCCCCACATGAACGTTTTCCCAGGGCTGTTTTTTGGAACCCTCTGCTATGCCACAGCTTGGGGGAGGATGATAAGAGGAGGAGAGGGAACAATGAGATGCAGCTCTGTAATTAATGACAATTGACACCCTTTGAAGGGCTGAGGTGATGGTTTATCCCAGAACATCCAAGCAGTGACAGTGGCTGCTCAGGATTCTTTCCCTGCCCAGATTTCTGTGCAGTGACAGCTCAGGAGTGCCAGCACTGCAGTGCAGACACTGAGACAACCCCCACACCCCCCTGGCTGAGCTGGGGACTGTCCCAGGGAAGCACCAGAACCCCCTCAGAGCCACAGACCTGGCTGTGCCACCACGAGGGACAAAGCCACGGGTGCCAAGAGCGGTGGGGCTGCTCCCATGGGGAAAGGAGGGATAAAAACACACCAAAAAAAAAAAAGTCTAAATGTCCACAAGGGGGCTGAGAACAAGTGAATATCGAGGGCTTTCAGGGAAGAGATCAGGAACTTTGTCTAGAGCTTCAAGTGTTAAGAGAGACCAAACACACCAAAAAGAGCAGGTTAGAGCAACACAAATGAGTCAGAAGAACCTGCTCCACCAAACAGCTGGGGCTGAAATGAGATTAAAACTAGAATTAAGGCCTGCTGGGAGGGGATGCACCTTTGACATCCCTGCTCCAGTGAAAACAAAGGACATGCTGGAGGCTGAACTCTGAGATCTGACCCCACAAGATCCTGCTGGGCAGGGGCAGAATCCAAACCAGGAACTCAGGGCAGCATCACTTCTGAGGTGAGGGGTTCTTATTGCCTCATCTATGGAAGCATTTTTCCCTGGAGTTCTATATGTGAATGGATCCTTTCCCTAGATGAATTTTGGAGAGATAATTTTGCCTCCAAGTCTTGCAGTAAACAGTTCCATGGCTGAGTAACCAAGACACAGTCGAAGAAAACCCACATGACAGGCGACTGTATTTATTTTACAACTCTTCCTGCAAGTCAGCTCCTCCCTGGCATCCTCCACACCACCGCTTTCCTCAGGTCTCCACAGGGTTTTCAAACACTAACAGGGGAAAGAAAAACATCTGAGAAGCCAGGAAGGCCAATCCTGAGGCCACAAGTCTGAAAGGGAACAAAGGAACCAGCGTAACACGAACCGATCCTGAACTGCTAAAGCTCCACATAAAGGTCTTGAAATCCAACCCAAGTGGCTGTTGGGCTTTCCCTGGATCCAGTTTCCCTGTGTGTTTGCCCTGCCTGTGTGGTTTAGAGGAGCATTTATAACCCAAATCTCCCTGTTTAACTTGATCTCGCCCGTGGAGGATGAACATTTGCAAGCCAGAGCCATTTAACAATTCAAATGAAGCACAGCCCTGCTCAGACACATCTATTTTTGTGTGCCACTGCTTCCCCAGCTCATGCTTAGGGAAAAAAATCTCAGCAGGAAAAACGCTGGAGTACAGAAATAACCAGATGGTCAACTGGGGCTGGGAGAAAATGGGTTATTTTTCTTATTTTTCCCCTCTGGAAGCAAGGCAGTGATTCCTGCTCCCCTCAGAGCCAGGCCAGAGTTACCTGACCATGAGGCAGTGATCAATAAAAGACTCCCAAAAAGCAGGAAAGCAGCTCCTTCCCCATCAACTGGCACAGGGAATCCAACAAAACTCCCCCAAAATCCCAGAGGGCTCAGAGGTTCACAGAGATTTTGAGAGTGAGACGAGAACTGGGGAGGAAAATGCAGCTGCATTAACCCCAGGGCCCGGGAGGGTCATCCAGGGAGAAGGTGACACTTCCACCCCAATCTCTCCACCTCTTCCCGTGTCCCCACCCCCCTCCTGCTCCTCCCTCTCTCTTGGAAACTTAATCTCCTTAGTGAATAATGAATGGAAGGGACCATCTGTAAGGCAGGTATTTTCATCTGATTAGACAATGCAGGAGATGCTTTCTCTAACAGGATAATTAGCTCAGCAAAATCACCCCCAGAGCTGCACTGCTGCTAAATTTAGAAGGCAAACCAGGTTTTTATTCAGGGCGGTTTTTTGTTTGTTTGGTTGGGGTTTTTTTCCAGCCAGAAATACACCCAACAGCATCTGGAATGGGATGAGAAGCAGCAGGTCAGAAGCAGCCAGAGGTAGAGGGCAGGAATTTGGGAAGGTCAGGCCTGGAGGGAGGGCTGGGATCTCACCCAGGGCTGGACTGGGGAGGCTCTGTGTGCCTGAGCAGCCGTAAATTCACGGGCAGGATGGTTCTTGTTCCCTGCAAACACCCAGCTCCCAAATCCCAGCCCTTGCTGCCTGGAAAAGTACACTGGGTTATTTTTAGGCCCCTGTTCTCTTCCAAAATAACTGCAGGCCTGGAGCCAAGCCTCCCAAAACGTGGCACCGTTTCAAAGCCACGGGAGGGTGAGGGGGGGGATGTTGGGAGGGTTTTTCAAAGCCCAGCCCAGCGAATTTCCCGCTGAAATGGGACCTTCAGGAACACCTGGAGGGAACAGCTGAGCCCTCCTGAGCTGCAGGTCCTGGGGGAAATGCAGGTTTAAGGTCCAGCCTCCTCCCCAAATCACTGCTTTTGCTCAGATTTCCAGGGAAAACAGCCAGCCAGACACCCCAAACCCAGCCTGAGGTGAGGCTGGAAGTTCCCAAAGCCAGGTCTGCACTGATTTAGGCACTAAAAGGGAGTTGGTGATCTCTGGGGGGTCCTCCCAGCTCAGCAGGATTCACCTCCAGGGCTTCCCCACGAGCCAGAGGTGTCCACCCATCCAAAATCCCTCAGCTTTAGCAAAGCTGAGCTGTGTCTCCTGCCCTTGGTTTGAAGATTATTGTCACCTGCTGCTAAAACAGGGATTTTATGGGGCAGGGCAGGAATTCTGTAATAACAATTTTGTTATAACAACCAAACCCACGCCCTCAGCAGAGCCCAAAGGGAGAAAATCTTCCCCCTCACAAGGGCACAACAGGTTGTAGGCACTGAGGACACCCCAAAAACGCCCTCCAAGGGGGCCCCAGGCAGAGAAAAAGCACTTTCTGCCACACAGCAGCCTCAGCCCCCTGCCCCAGATACCTGAGATGGCTCTGATTTTGAGGCCACAGGAGGATATTTAGAGTCAGGGACCATGAAAACTCATCTGCCTCTTAATTGTGAAGGCAGGTTTTAATTTGGGGGCTGCACATGTGCAGAATTCCCCAAGAAGGGCTCTTTAATTAGTCAGGCCTAACGACCTTCCCAAAGTCTCCTGCTTCCTTCAGACCTGTTTCCTTGAAAAGAAAAGGGGGGAAGGAGTTAATTCTGGAAACTTCTCAGCTCCATGGGAGGGAAAATGAGAAGATAAAAGGAGCAGGGACACAAAGTGAGACGAGTCAGAAGTGGGACATTCCAGTCCAGAACATTCCAGAAAGCTGAAGGAGATGATGATGATGATGATGTAAAGCTCTAAGGAAGGAGGATTCCCCCTGACTCCAGGAGACCAGCAGAGAATGGGATTTCCCCTAACTGAGCAGGAATTGGACACCCACAACCAGGAATCAGACACCCAGAACCCTGCACGTGAGGCTGCCAATCTGATATGGAAACATTGCTCCAGGGAGAGGGTTTGTCCTGGGGCTGTTGACAAAATAGGATGGAAATACAGGTGGGCAATCAGGGTTTATTTTAGGTGTCATCACTGGACTTTGCTCTGTCCAAGCTCAGAACTTGCAGCAGCAACAAGAACGAGCCAGGAAGTGAATTTGAAGGCTTGCAGAGCAATTTAATGAGCAGCAGCTCATTGCCCTTCTCTTTAACTCTTTTCAAACACAATTTTATTGCTTTGGAGAGCTTTTTTTTTTTTTTGGGGGGGGGGTTTGATTTCTTTACAGTCCTATCAATTTTCTTTTTACAGTAATCTGAAAAAAAACCCTGTTGGTCGGATTTGGGGCAGGTCACAAAAACATAACAAGGTTGGGGCAGCTCCTTGGATTACTGCAAGGGGCAAAAAGGCCACAAAATATTCCTGGCACGTTTTGAGGCTGGAGAAGGGAGGGAAGAACTACAGGGAAAAATCCCTGCCCCAGTAAGAAGGAACTGCACAAACCCAGCCCTGCTGAAGCGACACGGCAGCTCCTCAGGGGCAAACCCAAAAATTCCACTTGTATTGGAAAATTATAACTCTGCTGGGCTTTTGGCTGTTAAAATAATCTAAAACCCTGCAGGCCCAACCCCAGTTTCTATTTTCCCACCACCCTCCATGTTCAGCCAGAGCTGCAGGTGGGATTTGAGACTCTTCCCACTGAACTCCTGCCAAGCTCCCTCCCCTCCTCCACCACTCGATCCTTCCCAAAATATTGAGTTTTCATCCCACTGCCTCGAACACTGGAGTGGGATTCACCAGCTGATGACAGACTTATTTCAAATTTGGGCTTATTTTTGGAGTTCTGGGAGCATTTTGCAGGGACAAAGTTGTTTTCCAGGAGGATAAGGAGGCCAGGCTTTCAATTCTGTGCTCTCCAGCTGCATTATGAGACAAGTTTGCTCTGTTTAATGAGTCACCTACAGCAGATGCTGCTGAGGAGCTGCTAAAGAAAATAAACTGGGATGTCTGATGAATAAAAAGTAAATAAAATCTGCCCTGTGTGTCTGCAAGTAAAAAAAAAAATCAAAAGCTGTGTTCAAGCATCACTCCAAGCGACAAGAAACCAATTTTCCTGAAGACAAAGTGTTTTAACTCTTCCCCAAAAATAAAACCCAGACTGTACATTCAGGGGAGATTTTTACTCCAAACCCTGCAGAAAAACAGAGTCAGAAAAAACAAAGAACCTGGCAAAAATAAGCAGCTTTGTTCCAACACAGCCCCAGACTCTGCCACTGGGAAGGCTCCATCTGGAAATGGTGCCCGGGACAAGCAACGTGCTTCCAGGATTTTCTATCCCAGCTCCTCTCCTGCTCCTTGAATTCCCCAGCATCCTCAGGAACAGCTCCTTTCATGTCCTGCCAGCTGGGTGACACAATGGAAAAAATGCCATGTGGGCCAGTGGAGGAGCAGGAAAGGGTTCCCACTCCCCTCAGCTGCCCTGGGGAGGGAATCATTCCATCCAGGGAATTCCAGGGAGAAAGTGCTCAGAGGGCAGGTGGGACCGGCACCTTTCCAGTTTTCCTGTTTCCCAAAGGCAGAGCTGGAACGGGTTTTCCTACAAGATGAGCCCTCTGAAGGATCCCAGCAGCCAAAAGAACTGAGGGGGGGAAGAAAGGCTGGGAAAACTGGGAATTCCCACCCTGCTGGAACACTCAGGTCAACGGGGTTCACAGCATTTCCAAACCAGGGGGTTCCTGCTGAACGTGTATTTCCTGTTGGACATGCATTTCCCATCACTTCCCAGGGATTCTGAATGTATTCCCAGGTTTTCTTAATGAAAATTAAAGAGGAGGAGAAAGGGAAAAGGGGAAGGAATGGCACAGGACAGTGGGGATGGATTTGACACTCTCATTCCACAGGGCAAAACATCCACAAAGATGAAGTAACACGGGGAGGGAGGGAAAGAATTCCAGAATTCCAACAGCTGTCCCTGTCCCCAGGGAGGGAGGTGCCCTGTGATGCCCCACTGATTGCTCCTGATCCAGCTACATCCTCAGGGCACCCAATTCCAAGCCTTTCCAAAGCAGAATTAACCACCCCAACAGCCTTCCTGAGCCTCCCACTGCTCCTGGAGCTTCCTGCTCCAACCTCCAGCCAGAATTTCAATCCCTGCCATCCCACCCCCCCCCCCAAAACCCCCTGTCCCAGTTTTCCACACCTGCCCCTGCCTGGGAAGCAAAGCTCCAGCTTTTGTTCCTACCAGGACACCCCAGGAACCCAAGGAGGAGCTGCCACTTCCAACAGTCCCTCCAGCAAAACCCCCAATCCATGGAGAGAGGGGGGAAAAGAAAAGGGAAAGGAGGTTTAAGGCCAACAGAAGACACGTGGCAGCCCCACTTAAAATGACATTTTAGGAGGACAAAAATCTCCCAAGAGTGGAAAGACCTGGAAGTGGTTCCAACAACACCACATAACACATCAAGCAAGAAAGAGACGGTTTGGAAAAACCAGGAGGGAGGGAAGAGCCAGGGAGCAGCTGTGGTGACACTGCTGGTGGCTGGGGAAAGGCTGGACAGGACTCTCCAAGCTGGACACCAGCAGGATTTTACTCACTGTGTATTCTGCGTGTTTTTTCCCATACCACTTCATCCACTTCCTGAACTCCCTGTCCATGGTCTGCAAGAGGGAGGAAAAATAATAAAAAAAAAAAACAGCTGTTGGGACATCTCCTGTTTGCAAACCCACCCAGGGAAGGGAGGCCCAGCTCTGTCAGGGCTCCCTGACCCCCAGGACTCCTGGCTGGTGGGGTTTTTGGGTTTTTTGCCATTAACATTCCAAGGACAAGGCAGACAAACAGCTCCTGCTGTTTGTTAAAAAAAAAAACCCAAATTTTTGCAAGTCTGAGGTGGAATCTTCATCCCTGCCCCTTTTCCTGGGAGTTCCACTGCCCAGCACTAAAAATGGCAGAGCCTTAATCAGCTCCTGAGCTTCCCACATAATCCCCCAGGGACAGGGAGGAGGCAGCACAGCCCGAGCCCTGAGAGCAAAGGGACACCCAGGATACAGCCAGGTCTGCTGGGGGCAGGGGGAGGGCCAGGAAGCAGCAGCCAAAGGATTCCCATTCCCACAGAAACCAGGGATGCCCCAAAACTGCATCCAAGGGTTTGGGAGTGATGGAATCCTTCACTCCAGGGCTGCAGAGGATGGAAGGCTCTTACTGGCACCAGTTTTCTCTTGCCTAAATGGAGGAGAAAGGAACCAAATCCCCCAGTATCCAGAGATCTCAGTGCCTGGAATGTCCCCACCAGCACAATTCCAGCTGGCCCAGAGCAGGGCAGGCTCTGGAGGGGAACCAGGGGCAGCTCCACTGCTAAAAAAACAGCTGGAAAATGCAACTCAGGTGTCTTGGAAGGCTGGGGAAAAAAAAAAAAAAAACCAAACCAAAACCCTCCTATCTTTAGGGTTTGGCCCAAAGGAGCTAAGGGAGAGGGTCCCTCTCTGGAGACACATCCCTGTGTCACCTGCTCCAGGGGGGGTTGGAGTGGGTGATCCCCAGAGCTCCCTCCCAACCCAAACCACTCCACGATGCTTTGAGAGGAGACCAGCAGGAATTCTGACTTCCCTGACAGCTCAGGGGTGGTGGAGACCTCCATCAGCAGGTCAGCAAAGGCTTGTGTTGACAGATGTGCTTTAAAAACCTCTTCCCAAAGCTTTCCAAAGCTCAGCAGGACAACTCAGAAATCCTCCGGATCTCCTCCCGCTGCACAACTGCATTTTTATTTATTTTTGGAGACAACTTCACTAAAACAAGCCCACAGCACTCTTCAGCTGAAGCTTTTCAAAGCCATCTGCATCAATTATCAACTATCATGGTGCCCAGAGAGGTGTTGGCACTGCCAATCTGAATCAGAAAGTTAATCCAAGCCCTGCCACGAAGGTTTGGGGGGAAAGCTGGGCCCTGACAGGGGCAGAGGAGCTGCACTCAGGCAGCTTCACACCCTCTGACACTGCAGCAGCTGCTGGGTTCTTAAATCTGCCAGGATTTAACCAGAATAATGCAGAATATCCACAGGAAACACTCCTGAAGCTGGAGATACCCCAGCAGTCAACACTCCTAACTCTGTCTGGGGGTGGTTTTTCTGTTTGCTGTTTCCACTGAAGCCACGAAGGGGTGTTGGTGAGAGGGAGAACTCCCCTTTAATGCTGATCTTAAAGTTTAACAGCAAACCCAGAGGGGATTCCAGGCCTTGCAGGTGCTCCCTGATGAGACCAGGACGCTCCCACAGGGGGGCTGCAGAGCTGGAAACTTCCCCTGGGCCATGGCAGGGGGAACAGGATGGATTTTGGATCCTTGTCTGATCCTCCTCCTCACTGTGCTGATGCCTTTTTGCCCTCACCACAGAGAGGGAGGATCAAGGAGCTTTACTCTTGCCCTCCCTCCATGAGGTGTCATTTTGCAGCCTGCACAGGTTGAGTCAGAGTGTTTTGCCAATACAGAGGGATAAAGTGTCTGCTCAGGCACTGAGGCAAGAAAACCTCTCATGGTTAGGCCTGACTGACCTTTCCTGTTTGCTTGTGGCCTTCCAGGTGTGCCTTGGAACTCGTTATCTTTGTGTGTCCCACTGGCACACAACGAGAAGTGTAAAGAAACCTGACCAATATCAGAGAAACACGGGATGGTTTGGGTTGGGAGGGACCTTAAAGATCATTTAGTCCCACCCCCTGCCACGGGCAGGGACACCTTCCACCAGCCCAGGGTGCTCCTTTGATCCAACCTGGCCTTGGACACTCCCAGGGATCCAGGGGCAGCCACAGCTGCTCTGGGCAACCTGTGCCAGGGCCTGCCCACCCTTAGAGTAAATAATTTCTTCTTAATATCTAATCTAAACCTGCCCTCCTTCAGGTTCAGCCCATTTTCTCCATTCAGGTGCCTCCTGAGCAGTTCTGAACCAGACACCCAACAAAGGCCTCATCAACGAGCCCCTGGTGATTTTACAACTAATGAGCCCCTGATGGATTAATAACTAAGCTGAACTTCAGCTCAAGACACCACAAAGTGGCACCATCACCACCACCACCACAGGCAGAACCACAGGCGGCCTTTAAAATACGTGAGAACCATTTCCCTGCTGAATTAATTGCTGGATCTGCTGTGGCCTCTGGAGGTTCTGTCAGAACCCACTCCACACCCACTCACCTCAGCATACTTGGCTGGAATGTCGGCCTTCTCCACTCCATAGTGATGTTTGCAGTTGGTGGCTGCAGCCACTTGAAGCACCACCTGCCCCACACCTGCAGGGGGGAAAAAAAAAAACCAAACTGAGAGCAAGTTTCAGCAGAAAGCACTGCAAGGGGAGGTGAGAGTTGTCGGAGCAGAGGGCAGCAGGAGAAGAGCAGATGAACTGTGGGGCTGGGCTGCTTTAACTCCCGGTGTCTGACATTCCCACACGGAGGTTCTGTGATCCCTGAAGTCATTCCCACCTCCCAAGTGCAGCTCAGCCTCAAGGTGAGCAATAAAATTAATACTTTTAGCTGCTATCATCATAAATTATCTAATATTTGAGCCTGCAGCACCACAGGGCTTCAGATATGACCTTCTTTACCCTTCCTGAACAATTTATTTTTTTTTTTTTAATTCCAGATGGAAAACAGTTTGTCAGATGTGATGCCTTTCTCAATGTCTCATCTGAACATCAGGAAATTTCAGACAGCAGTCCCACTGAGGGAGGAAATGGAGGTGAAAAAAGAAAAATCACTGAAGATGTCTTAAGGTTTTTGGGGGCAGGACAGGGGAAATGCACTCCTGCATTTAAATTTAAAACATATTTTTAAAAAATGTTTTTCCCCCCACAAGTCCTGTATCACACCAGCAACAAAACCCAAAAACATACTTGACTTAAACCTTTACAGCACATCCAGTAAGAAGGGAAATTCTTATTATTTGCTCCTTTCCTGCCCTGAACCAGATTTGCCAAGAAAAAGAACAGCAAGTTCTTACTCAGTGTCTCTGTTCCTCGAGTCAGACCTGGTTTCCTCACCAATCAGAAACACCTTTTCCCTTTCAAAACTCCAACCTGTGGCACTTGAGGGTTGGATTTCGTGGGGTGTCCCCAAGACAACTGTTGAAATGAACCATAAAATCTTCTCTGACACCCTGACAAGTTAAGTCAGAGGCAAAAATCTACTTCATTTTTGGATCCCACACCGAGTGTTTCAGGTGAGAAGGGTCAAGGAATCCCCTTTTCAGGTAAGGAGGACTTTAAATCCACTGAAAACAGATGAACCCCCGGGAATGCTACTTTATTTTCCCAGCACCATTTTTAACACTGTTTCTTTCTCAGTGTATCCACCAACAGCAACAGAAACCAAGGGTTGTGTAACAATTTATTCAATTTGAAATGATATTTCAGCCCCATAGAGAGCGTTGAGGCATCTGGTGGGTCCATTTAATCCTGTCAGAAAAAACAGGGGGGATTATTTAGAAAAGATGCTTATCCTGCAAGGCAATCCTTAGGCCTGGCTTATCCTGCATGACAATCTTCACTCCTGCTTCACTTCTGAAATAAAAATTTGCGCTGATATTTCAGCCCCCTCAGAGAACATCTGGGGCATCGTGGTGGGTCATTTTAATCCCATCAGAAAAAGCAGGGGGATTATCCAGAAGAGATGTTTACCCCGCAGGGCAACCCTGGGGCCTGGTTTGGCCTGCAAGGTAACTCTTAGGCCTGGTTTAAGTAAAGGAAGGGGGAAAAGCAGGGAACAAGAAGAGGAAAAGAAGCGGCAGCTCAACTCACCGCTGCCCAAGTCGACGAACAGATCGTCCTCTGTCATCTTGATCTCATCGATCATCTGGGCCACCAGGTCAAAGGAGGTTTCCCCATAGACCTCTGGGGAGAAGGGCTCGTAGTTGTTGAGTTTCTCGGGGTCGGTGACCGAGTGGTTGTAGACCTGCTGCAGGATGTGCCGGAGCAGCCCGTTGGAGGGACGCGTGTTCAGCTTCATGGGCTGCGTCGTCCCCTTCCACTGCAGGGAACACAGGGACAAGTGGGAACCCAGGCTGGGGATGGCACAACGAGGGGAAATCCCCTCCCAGTACCTCTCCCAGCGGGGCTGGAGCTGCTTCTTTAAGGTCAGAATGGTCCTGATGTGAGGGCTGAGCCCCTCTGCTCTGGAGCCAGGCTGGGACAGCTGGGGGGGTCACCTGGAGAATGGAAGGATCCAGGGAGACCTGAGAGCCCCTGGCAGGGCCTAAAGGGGCTCTAAGAGAGTTTGGACAAGGGATGGAGGGACAGGACACAGGGAATGGCTTCACAAAGGGCAGGGAGAGATGGGAGATTGGGAAGGGATTGTTCCCTGGGAGGGTGGGCAGGCCCTGGCACAGGTTGCCCAGAGCAGCTGTGGCTGCCCCTGGATCCCTGGAAGTGTCCAAGGCCAGGTTGGATCAAAGGAGCAACCTGGGCTGGTGGAAGGTGTCCCTGCCCTTGGCAGGGGGTGGAACAAGATGACCTTTAGGGTCCCTCCCACCCCAAACTATGACAGTAAAGGCAAACACAACCCCAGCTCTGGGCACTTTGTCACCTCACTGAGGGGTCTCTCCAGGTCTGCCGGGAACAGGTGGCAAAGGGGCAATTCAAGAGATGCAAAACCCCAGAGGCAACGTAAAGCACTGAATGAGGCTGAGAAGGTGCAGAGTTTGCTCCCTGATTTTCTATTTACTGCTCCTCATCGAGCTGATACCGAGAGTGTGTCAACACAGGAGCAGTTGGATTCTGCCCCGGGAGCTGTCAGATGGGAGGGGTCAGATGTACTCAAACAGGGAGTGGCAGGAAGGAGATGGAAATCAAGCTTCCTTTCTTCCTCAGGGAAAAAAAAAACCTGTCCTAAGCATAAAAGTTGTTCAGTCTTAAAAATGTTTACCTCCCCTCCTTTTGATAAAAACAAAACAAAAAGGAGCAAGTCATGAACATTCCTCTGTTGGGGTTCAGATGGAACTGCAGAGGCTGAATAGTTTGTACTGTTCAGCAATTAACCAACACACACATGAATCTGAACAAGCACAGGTTTTAGGGAGCTGTAGGCCCACAAAATGAAGGAAATCCTGGAAAAAGGACTTTTTGCCATAATACTGCACACCTCAAATAACTCCCATAAGCACAGCAGAGGAAAACAAAAAAAAAAATCCACCTATACTTCCAAATTCAACAGAACAGTGACATTATTCACTGTTCATGTTTTGCTTCCTCCAGTTCAACCTTTTATGGGGTAGGAGAAGCAGAAAGCTCATTAACTTGGTCTGAGCCAGAGATCCCACGGAACAGAGAGGCTGAACTGTGTGGCAAGGAAATTCCTGAGGCATGGATCACTTCCACAGCACACAGGGGACTCCATATGGATTATTTAAGTACCCATAAGCCACAGATTTCCCCACACAGAAGTCAATCCATGCAAGAAATCCCTGTGAAGCATCTCCATGTTAAAACACAGAGAAGCCTTTTCTTCCCCCTAAAGATAACTCAGCTCCTCCCAGGTGCCCAAATAACAATGCCAGAAGTGCACAATAACCACCAACAGTTTGGGAACAAAAAGTGGGGTTTAACTGCTTTTCTCCCCGATTGCCAACTCCTGACTGCCCAGGTGTGATGAAGAAAATGAGTTTAACATCAAGGCAAGCCCCCAAAAGGATGGGAGTGCTGGATTTGGGTGATGTTAGCACAGTAACTGTGAGCGTGTCCCAGCTTTCTGGTGTTATTCACCCTGTGTGAGCTCAGAGCAGGCAGACAGGAAGGATGGCAGGGCTGCAGTTGAACACCTACCAACTGGTGGATGCTGTCGATGGCTCGGTTGTACTTGTCACACAGTCTCTGCATGCTCTCAAAGCTGGGGGAGGAAAAGAAAACACACAAGGTCAGCAGCTCAAACAGGCAGGTTTGAACCACAGAATCCCCTGAGTTGGGAGGGACCCACGAGGACCACCCTGGGAGGGACCCACAGGCATCCAGTCCAGCTGCTGAGCCCAAACCCCTCTTTTCCCACCATTAATAATTCACTTTATTCTGGCCAGACGTCTGTTTGGTCGAGTTAGATGTCCAAATTTACTCATTTCTCAGCCACAAATTACTCATCACACCACCACAGTTCTCTTTCTGACTCTCCCTGCTGGCCTGCACCAAGTGTGAGTCTCCCAAGTGCGTCCTCACAAAAGATTTCGGTGTTCCCGTGTTTGGTACGACAAGAATATTTCTGTAATGCAGAGCAAAAATACCCAAACCACATGAAAAGGTCACCAGCTGAACTGAAGGATGTTGGTAAAGTTGTAAGGCTGCAAAATATGCTTACAGTAGTAACTAAAGGTACAACCTTAAGCTTTCCTGTCTTCTTGCTTACTCTAAGTGGGAGTTTAGGGTTTGTTTCTCTCAGAAGATGCACTGATTTAAGACTTTGTTTCCTTTAAAAAAAATTCCCCAGCAGATCAGGAGTACATGACAAATAATATCAGTATCTTTATTCTAAGTCATGCTTTGAGTTCAGCCCATTTTCTCTTAATTGGAGTTCTGTATTCTCAGAGTCATCACCTCTTTTCCACGTTCTCAGCTGCACTGAAACTTAAACAGACCTGGTAATTTTTCCCTTTTTTTTTTTTTCCATCATAATCAATCCTGAGACAAGCAGATGCTTCTCTAGAAATTAATTCTGGCTTTGAAAATGCAGACAGAGCCAGGGCACAACCTAAAATGTGCCCCAGCAGGAAAGCACAGGGATTGCTCCACGGGCTGCTCGGGATTACGGTCAGTCCAGGCAGATGCCTTAATGACAGAGGGCTGAGAGGATTAAACAAATTCATCTGTGGCCAGGGAAGAGAAGATATTCCAGGGAACATTATCCATTACATAATCAGACCCACAAAGCAGCAGCAGAACCAATCCAAGGAGTTCTGGGGTGACACAGTTAAACCACGGCCACTGCCAAGGCTGGGGAGGGGAGGGGGGACCAGGGGACAGCCAAAGGGACACCTGAGCCTCTTGTGATCCTCAGAGCCACCACACACCTCTCCCAGGAGTCCTGGCCATTCCAGCCCCAGCTTCCAGCTGCCTGTTTCCATGCTGGGACAAAGCAAGAGGATTTGGGCAGCACAGTGTGTGCATTCCCTCCCCATCCTCAGATTGCTCCCCCTGCTACCACTCATTTTTCTGGCAGTTTTTTTTTTTAAAAGGAAATAAAACTAATAAAAAAAAAAAAAAAAAGACTGAAACCATAAGCAAAATTCCAGGTTTATGGCTTCCTGGAGAAGCTGCAGGAAGGTGAGTGGGATGTGACTCTGGGGAACAGAGGGGTTTTCCCTGTTATTCAGTTTTGCTGCCAACCTCACTGATGGTCCTCAGCTGAACACGCCCAGGGAGGATGCCAGGACTATAAAATTACAGCAGTGCAGCCACTGGGAGTAATCCACAAATCCAAATTAATGCATTTGATGACAAGGGAGGCTCAACCCGGATTTCTCCCTTTGAATTTCTC